TACAGACAATCAATACGAAATCCTAGAAAAGGAAGAAGAATTGTCATATTTTTTTTTGGTTTCTTTTTCTTTTTTGTGTACCTACCAGTGGCTCGAGGCTCGGCAAGGTTCGGGATACTGGTAGGCTGAGCCACGGGCCTTAACATCCGGTAGGTACTGGTGGGTTAAGGATGACATGCACAAACCAAGGCGGTTGGGTTGTGTGGCAGCTGTGAAGAACGAGAACATCTAAAGCAATACATTTTCTGTCATTACCAACATGACGTTGTCTACAGCTCTGCAGCTCTGCAGTTGGGAAGGGAATGGGGAATACATCGCTCGTCTTGTCAGAGGGAAGATGAAGAGAGAAAGATCTTATCGCACCTTCCTGTTCACTTCCATATCCCCACATGACGTTGTCTACAGCTCTGCAGTTCACGTCCTCCACCGAGTACACTCTACGTCTTTGCTCTTCCGCGTCCACCCCGTCCGCCTTGCAGGGAGACATGCTTGTCAATTGGCCCGTCATGCTTCTGTCATTACCAACTCCTACAGGTCCAGATGATGTGTTGTTCTCCTTGATATGAACACAACCGTCTCCGTCCCCTCTGCATAAAAACTGACTTCTCCTTCCATTGCTGCCGCTGCTGCTGTTGCTGCTGCTGCCACCAGCCCCAGTCGTCCGGCTGCTGCTTTCGCCGACTTCTTCTGCTCCAACACCAAAACCTTTCTGCGGTTTTACTTCAGCATGGCTCCCACCCATCATGCAAGCTGTATCCCAGTTATCTTCTGCAACTGGTGTGCTCGCCTTTATGCTGATGCCAGATCGGCAACCCTCCTGATGCATCCCTGCAGCAAAGCTGTTGTCGCCAAATCCAGGTGAGGAACGGGAGTCCGTCCTCTGTCCTCGTTGGTAAAAACAGACTCCTCTATCCCTGCACAAGTCATCACCACCAGCGCTCACCATTCCCATCCCTGCCACTCCCATCACAGACGATGATACACTGTCACTGTCGCAGATCCTCCGCGACTGGAGGCTTCTATCACACGGAATTTCACCGCCATCACACTCCGACTCAACATTGCTCAACCCTATGACAGCAGAATGCTCATGCTGCAACACACACAGTTGTTTATCGCGTGATGCAAGAAGAGACACCCTGTTTTCAAGAGGATTGGCAACCAGCACTTTTGCCGCTAAACCTTCCTCGCAATGCTGCTTTGCGGCAACTTCAGCAACACTTTTCACTGATGACTCTGCACGTCTGCACACCCTCTGAGTGTGATCACCGTCAGAGCTTGTCTGGTGGCGCCCACTATCCTGGACAAGCATCGGCACTTCCGCTGCCTTTTCCTCATCCCTACTGCATCGTCCTATTTCTCGAGCCTCCTCCCTGCCCGCCCTTGAATACAGTGTCTCATTGACCAGTCCTAGCAATACACTCCCATCATCTCGAGAGCGCTGCTGCCCAGCAAAGCTACGCTCGTCCCTGCACGAGTCATACCCCAAATACAAAGCACCTTTTGTCGTCCCATAACCGGCATCACGGAGGCACGGCTGCTCTTCTGCTTGGCGCACCAGATTGGAATTCACATCATGCTGAACTTTACACCCACCCACACCACTCCAATTTCCACTCATGTCTCCATTTCTTATAATTCTTGTCATGGCTTCATCCACTTGCACATTCAGGTCGCGGCTAGCTGCAGAAATGCCAAGATTCACTCTGCTCGCAGCCACCCACCCCTCAAAACCCACCATACCGTCCTCAGCAGCCATATGTACGCCCCCCACCGCCAGTCCCCCGATTAAAAAACTTTGTTCCACAAACAGGTCACAAGCCAGATAGCTTACAGAGACCAGACCAGTCAACAACCACACACGCGCATCCTCGCTCCGAAACTCCAGTCAAAGAAACAGGTGCCGGAGGCTGCGTTGGAGTGTCGAGACAGGCTAAACACTTTCCAGAGGCATAAACCAAAAGCCTCGAGTCCCTCCCAACTTGAAGAGTGATAATTTAGGGAACTATACAGCTACTTCACAAGAGGTGATTAAGTAAACAGAACCAAGATGCAAGCTTCCATTTCTATCACTTAGATCAAGCGAAGCTGCCAGTCATCATCTGAACACCATCTGAAGTAATAGTTCTACGCGATGAGAATTTGCGCAAGTTCGCTGTGGATCTATAACAGGTTGAGACTATGTTTTCCTACTGAACGTAAACACTGGCTTCCACCTGTCATGCAAAAGGCATCAGCACAATTCCCTCGGCATGCTCTCCTTGGCGGCTTCCTTCCTTATCCTTCCAGAGTCCATCAGACCATCCATGTTTAATGGCGGTTCTTCATCACAATCCCTCCTTGCAGACAGTCCCTGCCACGTCAGATGATCACCCTCGTTCCAGTTCCCCCTCGCACAGGCTAATCTCAAACCAATCCCTTGCCAGCATACTTGCCAGGGAAGATCTGCACCTGCCGTCGTCACATTTCAACACGAGAAAATCACCCACCAATAGCAGCACCTTTTGTAAATGTCACAGAATTGGGAAGCTGGGACAAACTGACAGCACATGCTGCTCCCACATGGACAGATTAGAGCCCCGCCTGGGACCACCATGGGTGGTGGATGTTCTGCGGGAGGTGTTTTCATAGAAAAAAGAAAAAGAAAAAATGGAATACACTACATAATACGTTGTTGCCAGGCACACACATCGTCACACGACTATTGCCTAAGCGTAGAGAAAGGCAGCAAGGATGGTGCACTATGTGATGTCTCTCTTTGTTCTTGTTACCTAGGTTGAAAGAGACGCCAGGGTGGGGCGGGGGGATCCATGCAGCCAGCGCGACTGGGGTACCCTGGGCAAGAGAAAAAGGCCGTTGTTGAGCCCACCGAGATCTTCCCAAGTCCAGGCTCTTTTCTCTTCCGGGAATATGTGAAGGGTCAGTGGGGGAGGGAAGACGGAGGTGGCACAAGGGAGGTCAAGGGTAGATAGCGAAAGGGAGGACGGAGATGAAGCGATTGGAGGAGAGATGCAGATGGTGAAAGGGGGGAGCGAGATGTACAAGTTCCTTCTTTCACGCTATTTTTTCCCTTTCATGTTTCCATCTTTGCACTCGTTTCTATTTATTTTTTATAAACAAGGCCACGCACACCGCAGCGGAGACCCGCCCCTCCTCCTCCCCCTTGCTCCTGGTGCTGTCTGCCATCTCCTCTCTGTTGTGCTCCCACATCTGCCCCGGCTTCGGCCATCTCCCCCTCCTGTGCAGTGTGCTCCTCCCGCACAGGGGCGAACTGTACTTTGTGGATGCGACGCTACCAACACAGACGCGGCCCCCCCCCCCCCCCCCCCCCCCCCCCCCAAAAAAAAAAAAAARRGGGAAAAAAAAAACCTGGCATAGCTCAGCCGGCGCATGCCTGAACCGAATGTATGCGGCAAGCAAGAGAGCATCTTTCCATGTTCTAGCAGAAGATTCATTCTCATTTTGCACATGCACCCCCCACAAACCAAAAAAAAAAAAAAAAAAAAGGCTTAGCTCAGTCAGTACACCCCTGAAGCCAACGAATGTGCAGAGCAGGAGAGCAGCGCCCTAAGACTACGTGCCCGGTTAACATGGCGGTGTATCATTCCATGTTCTAGCGGAAGATTCATTCTCATTTTGCATGTGGGTAGCGGAGAGAGGCCCATAGTCGGGTCTTCCCATCTACAACACGACAAAAACGATGGGTCTCTCTTCACTACTCGACACGTGCAAAATGAGAACGAATCTTCTGCTAGAACATGGAAAGATACACCACCATATTTTTTGTCTTTTGTGCATGCGCTGAGTGGCAGAGCGAGGCAAGGAGAAACAACACGTACAAAATTGAGAAGAGACGTAAAATGTGAATCTTTTGCTAGAACATGGAACGATACACAGCCCCTCATTTCTTGTCCTCGTCTCCCTCTCCGTATACGGTTTACCGGGCAGCTCTGTTTGAACAACTTTGATGATATATTTATATAGTCAAACAGAGCTGCAATATATATATCGTCACAAACAGAACTGCCCGGTAAACCGTAGGCAGAGAGAGAGAAGAGGACAACAAACAAGGGGCTGTGACAAACTGTTTCGTTGGAGTTTCACCGACTCATCAGGAGGCTGAACCCTAAAACAGTCTGCAGAATCCCCTCATATATATCGTCAAATAGAACTGCCCGGTAAGCCGTAGGCAGAGAGGGAGAAGAGGACAACAAACGAGGGGCTGTGACAAACTGTTTCGTCGGAGTTTCACCGACTATTGTCACATGGTATCAGAGCACCAAAGCGAAAAACAGAAACAAGAAAAACTTAATTCATTTTTAATCGTCTTCCTTACAACTCCCCCTGTTCAGAACCTCTTGCGTACAAGGCCGCACACGTGGATGTAGGTTGAGCGGCAGCTGCCCCCACCCCCGTGTGTCATATCGACCCACTTGCACACAGCCAAAAGGCAAAGAGGCAAAGAAGAGAGGAAGGGAACAGCCAAATAAAACAGAAGAGGGGCAACAAAACAGATCCCAGATGACGAGTCCCACATGCAAGCACCGCCCTTGCCCACAGGCCAAACGACGGGACAAGACCAACCAGGATGTCAAAACATTCTTGTCTGCAAAGAAAAAAAAAAAGTACCAAAAATAACCCATCCCGGATGACGATTCCCACATACAAGCACCGCCCCCCGTTCAAAAGGCCGAACAACGGGAAACAACCAACCAGGATGCCAAGACAATTAAAAAAAAAACGGATGACTGGTCCCACATGAAGCACCGCTACCTGCTGCAAAATAGACCGAATAACGGGACAAAACCAACCGGGATGCAGACAAGATTACCACAACAAAACAAAATACCCCAACACCGGGGAAAATTACATAAAACATGGGATGTGTCATTTAGTTTGCTTGACGAATACGCCTTCCTTCCCTTGTCCTTTCTCTAATGTTTTCTTAAATACCACAACAAATCTACCATATCCATAGTCAAAAAACGGAACCATACAGTAGGACAGCAAAATGAAATACCCCAGCAACGGGGAAAGAGTAAAAGAAACAAGAAAAGGAGGAATGACAAGAACGAATGTCAAAACTATGTTCTACCATAACAAAAGCAAAGCCTGCTAGTACAGGCCCGACGCTCGCCGCATCATCTGCAAAAGCAGAGAGCTAGCAACATCGGAGTATATATTTTCACATGATATCAGCACGCCAAAGCGAAAAACAGAAACAAGAAAACTTAATTCATTTTTAATCTTCTTCCTTACAACTCCCCCTGTTCAGAACCTCTTGCGTACAAGGCCGCCCACGTGGATGTAGGTTGAGCGGCGGCTGCCAAGGAAGGAAAGCCCCACCTGTTCATCACCTCTTACGTCCAAGGCCAGCCACGTGGATGACAGGTTGAGCGCTGGCTGCCCCCATCCCCGTGTGTCACAAGGACCCACTTGCACGCAGCCAAAAGGCAAAGAGGTAAAGAAAAGGAGGAGGAAACCAAACCTGACAAGCAAAGAAAGTGTATCAGACAGACAAAGCAAATGACACATCCCACAGATAATCCAATTGTCACAAAGCAAATACCACATCCCATAGATCAACATATTTTTCTTTTTTCTTTTTTTCTTTTTTCCTTTTTTTCTTTTTTTTTTTTTTCCTTTTTTTCTTTTTTTCTTTTTGCTTTTTTTCTTTAACTGTCCCCACCTCGGCAGATAGGACAGCTACGGCAAGAATGACATGGATGTTCACGAGGATACCCAAGGAGAGCTGCGCCAGCACAGCATTCAGCAGGACGGCTAGCATGAACCATCCCATCAAAACAGTCCTGACAGAGGGCATGTTGTCCACATGTCAAAAAAACAGCAGGACGTTCATCACAGTGCGGCATCATGCAATTCTGATAGCGTCCTTGGGCACAAAAGGGACATCGTATATCTGGGTGATAGGAATGTGTACAACGAGGGAATGTTGGACACCCTTCAACACAGACTGCGGCAGTCGCAATAGATAATAGATTGATAATGGCTACGGCATAGATGATGCATTCCACAGCCAAGTCACAACGCGTCTCTGTCCCGACAGGTGTCACACGCGAGTCAGTCAACAATCCAGAACAAAGTATGATTCGGCAATGCACGCAAAAATTCATTTACAAATTTTACATTGAAAATAGCCTGAATCATCGTCCCTCATCCCACAGTTACCACTGGGCAGCTGCAGAAATACGAGGATGGTTATTGAAGTCATCGCCAAGCGTTGCATGATGCATAAGAAGACGGCGACCGGGGAACGCTAACTGTAAGACATTTACAGTAAAGCCTCCTGAGGTAGCATAGTTACTACCTTCAGGAGGTGGACTATTATGGTCATACAACGACTGATTTCCAACAGCGACAAGCGGATAAGCAATCGTAACAATTTGAGATGCAGTATAACATTGACGCTGTTAAGCCTGTAGGCAGACATTTGTGGCTGTCAAACCACAAGCTTTTGGTAGGTATGCTTGCAGATCCGAATCAGTCACCACAGGAGAGGCAGAGCTGATCTGGCGGGGTCGGCACGTAAATGACGAACACCGTCAACGCGGCAGAGCAGGCTGTCAATAAGACAAAGAACCCCGCGGATTAGCATCAACACAATGTCGAGAGGAAGGGGGACTGGGAGGAGGACAGAATGAACGAGCCTGCCGAAGTCCCAATATGGACAACGAAGATAAAGAGGGGCCGGTCTCAGCCGGCGCGGGGAAGAGGAAGACAAAGAAAAGGATGATGAAGAAGAGGAGGAAAGTAGAAGAGGAAGAAGAAGAAGAAGAAGAAGAAGGAGACGACCAAGAAGAAGAGGATGCAGGCAAAGCGGGAGGAGAAGGAGAGGGAGGGGGAGAGGGAGAGAAAGGCAGAGGGGAAGGGGAAGGGGAAGGAGGGGGAGAAGAAGGGGGAAGTGGAGAGGAGGGGGAAGAGAGGGGACGGGAAGATGGACAAGGAGGGGGAGGGGGAGGGGGAGGAGGATGAGAAGATGGAAAAGGGGAAGGGGGAGGAGGGGGGACGGGAGAAGGAGAAGGGAAGGAGAGGGGAGGAGAAGGTGGAAGAGGAGATGCACGGACCAGCAACGCATATGTCGAAACCACTGTGTAAGATGAGTTACATGTACAGGGAGTCGAGATTGGCGAGCACGAATGTAACAAGTCCATCCCCGGGCCAATGTAGATGGGGCATGGCCACGGGAAAGCAAACGGCAGACAAGCATGGTTGCCGCAGTTCTGAAATCATGCCAATTGTCACAATTCTGCTCAAACCGTGTAAGCTGGCCGGTAAACACACCTGCAGGCTGATGAGATGGAATGTTCGACGTTGCACTAGGAAATCGTATAACAGGAAAATCCCATGCAACAGTCTTATCAAACACACTCAATCGGAGAGATCCGTCTGCCTGTGTTTGCAGTTTCGCACCTAAAAAGGTGCACGAGCTATGATGAACAAGGCCATCCGCTGTATATAGATATGTATTAGTAACAATAAACTGAAGATGTTGAAGAATGTCAGACACAGAAAGAGTGTCAGGTCCCGTATCTGTAGTCCATTCCCCTGCACGCAGTCCACGGACCACCATACGAAGAGCAACACAGGATGGGCGTGTTCGTGTATGCTGCCGTGCCTGTGCAAGAGCATAGGCATGTGCCTCATCAATGGCCTTAGCAAATCCGTTGATGAGAAAGATCAGTATACATACTAGTGAGATCGACCGTACGAGGGGCCAGACCTTGGAGAGAAGCTTTATTCTGTTTGAAGAGGTACGGAAAAATTAATTGAATATAAAACCTATCTACAAGCTTTGCCATATTTTGATCGATTAGATTATGTTTCTATGATGGCACAGGAACATGCTTGAGGTCAAGAATGACTTCGTCACTCCTCTGGACAATCCAACATCGTCGAATACCTTCAGATTGGAAAAGTTGATCATCTTTTTTGCAAAGAGTACGGGTGGCGCCTTGGAATGCCGCACTCAAACGAGCCGATGTAGGTGTTGTACTAGCCACAGGCTTGTGAGGCGGTCAGTGAGGCAAACGCTGATCTCCTTTCTATGGTTGCACTCCTTGGTCGTGTGCTTTTTCTATTCTGCTCGAACCCCTTTTGCCTTTTCGCATGCATAAAGTAAGGACCTCGTTAGACACGTCTAGAAAACTTCAAGAAAACTGTTTTTCGGGTCGTTCCATGGCATCCTAATGACGAAACTTCTGCGTAAAACCATACGTAAGACGCATCCTTGAAACACTGAGACAATACAGCTATCCCTATACTCTTAAAGAATGCAAAGGGCCCAGCGTGACGCTTCCCACTCGTGGTTACCCGCTGGTCCCAGCAAAATTCGGTGTGGAGGCAGGCGGGACTGCGGCAAGGTAAATCGGCCGCGGTGTTTCGTGGCGGGACTGCGGGCGCGAGTGAGGGAAATTCCGTGTGGCGGTTCCACGCGACACGCCCCGCTCTGCAGTGTCGGGAGGACACAAAGTCCCATTCCCCGCTGCCACGGTTTTTCTTTCAACATCCCCATTCAGTTTTGTTTCCCGCCAGTCCGTGATGCCGGGCGGGGGCCGCGTCGATATGGAAAAGGGCGGCGATGGAAAGATGTGATGGAGGAGGGAGGATCAACGCAGGAGGAGGGAGGAGGAAGAGGGAGAAAGACATTTGGGGCATGTGGCACGTGCGTGCTGAGAGCAGGAAGGGTGGGAGAAAGAGGGAGGATCAAGAGGGAGAAGCATGTTTGGGCCGATCGGAACAAAGGAGGCAGCATGAGAAGCAGCGAGAACGAGGAGGAACAACGAAAAAGAGGAGGAGCGAGGGGACGATGAGAATGGAGGAAAGAGGAGGATGGAACAAAAGGAGAAAGAGGGACGAAAAGGAGGATGATAAGCATGGCAGACGACGAGAATTCATGGAGGAGGGGAGAGGATGTAGGGAGGAGGTGAGAGGATGTAGGGAGGAGGACAGTGCGCAAGGGGGAGGAGGAGGTTGGAACGAGGGGGATGAGGAGGTCGCACAAGGAGGAGGAGGTTGTGTGAGGGGGAAGCGGACGTCGAGACAACGAGGAGGAGGTCGGAAGAGAAGTGGGAGGAGTTCATGCGAGGGGAAGCAGGCATCGCAACAAGGAGGAGGAGGTCGTGCGAGGGGGATGAGGAGGTGGGTGGAGGACGCGTGAGGGGGAGGAGGTCGTACAAGGATTAGGAGGACGTTGTGTGAGGGGAGGAAGAGGTCGAGCAAGGGAGATCAGAAGAGTGGGAGAAGGGGGGCGTGCGAGGGGTAGGAGGAGTCACTCGAGGGGTAGCAGGAGGTCGCGCGAGAGGGAGGAGGAGGAGGAGGTTGTGCGACGGGGATGAGGAGGTGGGTGGAGGACGCGTGAGGGGGAGGAGGTCGCACAAGGATTAGGAGGACGTTGTGTGAGGGGGAGGAAGAGGTCGAGCAAGGGAGAGGTCAGAAGAGGGGGAGGAAGTTGCACGAGGGGGAGAAACGGGGTGCGCGAGGGGTAGGAGGAGGTTGCGCGAGGGGTAGGAGGAGGTCACGCAAGGGGGAGGAGGTTGGAAGGCGATGTATGAGGGGGAGGAGCGGGTCGCACAAGGACGAGAAGGAGGTCGCAAGAGGGGGAGGAGCCTAAGAGGAGGTCGCACAAGGGAGAGGAGGTCGAAAGAGGGGGAGGAGTGGGTCGTGCAAGGGGGAGGAGGTGGTGCGAGGGAGACGAGCAGGTCGCACGAGGAGGACGAGAGGTTGCAGAGGTCGTGCGGAGGTCGAAAGGGAGGTGGAAGGAGGTCGCGTGAGTGGGATGAGGAGGTCGGAAGAGGATGCGTGAGAGATGAGGAGGAGGTCGCCCAAGGAGGAGGAGGAGCTGGAGGAGGTCAAAAGAGAGGTGGGAGTACGTCGCGTGACGGAGAGGAGGAGGTCGGAAGACGATGTCCAAGGGGGAAAAGCAGGTTGCGCAAGGACGGGGAGGAGGTAACGTGAAGGGAAGGCGTCGCGTGAGGGGGAGGAGGTCCGAAGGGGGAGGAGTGGGTTGTGCACCGGGGAGGAGGAGGTCATGGGAGGGGTCGGAGGGATGAAAGGTTGCAGGAGGTCGTGCAGGAGGGGGAGGAGGAGGTCGCACCAGTGGGAGGGGGAGGTCACGCTAGGGGGAGGAGTTTGTGCGAGCGGGAGGAGGGGGCCACGAGGGAGGACGAGGAGGTCGCGCTAGGGAGAGGAGGTCGCACAAGGGGGAGGAAGTATGTGTGTGCGCATGCACACGAGAGAGAGAGAGAGAGAGAGAGAGAGAGAGAGAGAGAAGACTGGCATATCTTCCTCCAAATGTTGAAAAGATGCCATCGGCCTTTTTTGGGGCGATGGTAATTTGCCAAATACCCGCATAAGTTGAGATGTATTTCAAAATGTACCTGAAAGATCTCGGTACAATGGAATGGCCTTTTGGGCTGACATCTTTTCGTTATGCCCCTGTCAGCCGATTGTGCAAATTCGCAATGTCAACCTCCCCGTTTGGGCCTTGGCCTTTTACGATTGCACATACGAAAAGTTGGCAACTACCGGGGCATTTTGCGAAGTTGGATGGTGTCCGATAGGGGTACATTGCAAAGATGGGGTCCAACCGATGTCCGAGGAGTTTCGCAAAATGTTTTTGTCATTGTCCTTCGCCGCAGCGTGGCTGCAGCAGGTCCACTTGTCTTTTCAAAAATTTCAAAGGACCGAATTCTCCGAAGTGGCAAAGACACACCGCAAACTCAATATGTGGTGGAGCCCTATTGGCTGAAACATTTCCTTTTCTTTCCTAAATGACAATCCACCTTCCGACCCATCTTAGAAAAGCAGGTTCCAGAACTGCGTGGAACGAAAAACGCATTTAACCGCTTAAGGCCAACTAATCACGAAAGATCTCTAAGAAGCACCCTAGAGTTTCTAGGATCTTCTACACGTGTCTAACAAGACCCTAAGGAACAGTGCAGGTTGCTCGAGCAGAGTCAGCAGGTACATGGAGTAAGCCACAGTCTGAACTCCTTTCTGTCCTCCAACAGCATATTACCAAGAAAAGTCCATGCCCCCTTCACACCCTGCAGTACCACCCAGCACTAAGGAAAGCCAATCCTCCAGGGCATGTGACCCGACCCAACGGACCCTCGAAGACCCCAAGGCTGCAAATCCTCCCCCCCCCAAAAAAAAACAGGACCTGCAGTAATGTCATCTAACAAAGACATAGAGGGATGAAGAGTCTAAGAAGGGAAAATACAAAGGAGAACTGGATGGTCGGCAAGAAGACGGCAAAGGAGAACAACTTAGGCAAGGTTGCTGAACTGTTCAAGCTATCAAGCCCCTAGTCAAAAGTATAGTTCTGACCCTCCCATGTCCATCCATCTAATAGCGAGCCTGCTGATGATTGATGATTCCATCATTCCGCAAAGGACAGAGATCAAACTCTACTACCTATATATTAATCACTGCATTACCCAAAAATAGAGAGCTCACACCCAAAATAACGGATCAATACTTCCCAGCCATCAGGTCACAAATGATCCGACTGCAGGTATCGACACAACAGTGAAAAAAACAACTGCCACCATTCTGAACAAGAAAAGCGACTTCCATCAGCAGTGATCACGTCACCCTCCATAGACCGTGATCTAAGGAGTGCTTCCGCCAATGAGATTATTGCACGAAGGAAAATTACTGGAAATATTCCATCACATGGGGGTATCCCCAACCGCGGTTCTCATTGGGGTTGGGTGTACCCCTATGGGATAGAGCAATTTTCAGGTGAAGTGTAAAACACTGCCATGCAGACTATTCTCTAGCCTAATCGGTGGTGGTCTATGCTTGCAGGGGTCCCCTGTATAGGCTTTAGGAGTAGTGGTAGGTAGACAGTGAAAGGTGAAATTGAGAGAAGAATATAGCTTAGAAAAAGACTATTCTCTAGCCTAGCCCGTTGCTAGTGCGACCTCCCTCCTGGAGGGACAAGAGGAGACCCAAAAATTAAGTTCAATGTTTCGTTTTTATTATTTTTCCCAAGGAGGATTAAGGAAAACCAAAAGACACAACATGAGACAACCGCTGGCACTTACGATTCTGCCGCATTTGAACACTAGATCCACTAACCCATAACAACCGTCAGTGCTGTTCAATACAGCAGCGTTTGAACCCTAGACCCATACGCTGAACAGAAAGGTGTTATTCGACGCAGATTCCACAGGATTTTCTGGGTGCCCAAGGAAAAGTTACGTGCATGCATCATTATGAACCTAATAATCCAGGTTCCTTTACCCAGCAATGCCAGCATCTGGGCCCTTGCGGCCTTCCCAGCAGGCCGCCCGCCAGCCGCATACCCATCCAGCAACTGGGCTACCTCAGCACCTCCTCCCTCCTGCCATCCACCTCTGTCCTCCTTCCTGCCATCCACCTCGGTCCTCCCTCCGGCCATTTGCCTCCTTGCCCCTTCACCTACCAACCCCATCCCTTGTGCCATTATCCTCCTTTCCCCTGCCATATACATCCCTTACCTCATCTCCCTCCTACCTCCCACCATCCACCTCCCTCGTCCCTCGTGTGGTCTCCCTGCTCCCCTCAAACTATCAACCTCCCTCCTCCCTCACGCCATCTCCCTCCTCCATTCTACCATGCACCTCATCACCTTCACACCATCTTCCTCCCCCCTCATGCCAGCAGGCCGCCCGCCAGCCGCATACCCATCCAGCGACCGGGCTACCTCAGCACCTCCTCCCTCCAGCCATCCACCTCGGTCCTCCCTCCGGCCATTTGCTTCCTTCCCCCCACCATCTACCAACCCCATCCCTTGTGCCATTGTCATCCTTTCCCCTGCCATATACCTCTCTCCTCCCTTGCATCATCTTCATCCTACCTCCCACCATCCACCTCCCTCCTCCCTCGTCCCTCGTCCCTCCTGTGGTCTCCCTGCTCCCCTCAAACTATCTACCTCCCTCCTCCCTCACGCCATCTCCCTCCTCCCTTCTACCATGCACCTCTCACCTCCTCCGCACCATCTTCTTCCGCCCTCATACCATCTCCCTCCTCCCTCCCACCTTTTACCTCTCCCACATCACTTTATCTTCCTCCCTCCGGTCATCTACCTCTCTTCTCCCTTGCGCCATATCTCTCCGCCTTCCCGGCATCTACCTCTCTCCTCCAGCACACCCTCTCCCCCCTCCCTCACATACGACCAAAAAAACAGAGCTGGAATTCCGACAGATCTCCATGGGCACAGCAATGCCCCACCACCCCAAAGCAAAACGACTTGTTTTTCTTACCTGGCCTGTCCCAGGCGAGCGGCCGGCCATGCAGGCTGCGCAGATCCCCAGTCATGCAACCCTGGCCAGGCATCTCTGGTAACCTAGCTCATAATTCTTTTTTTTTTTTTGACCTGATAATCCCGATAACTAGTGTTCCAACATCCGTGAACCTTCACTCTAATGCAGATCACATTCCCGTTAGTCTACCACACGAAATGCTCGATGAAACTCACTGCACTCCTTGTCAGCCAACCACTGCAGAGCACATATCAACACACGACTGGCCACCCACTTGTTGGGAAAGTGCTGACGTGCCAAAAAAGAAAATCAAGACTGAAAGAGAAAAAGATTTACATCTCACCAGCCTTTCTCTGGACAGAGCAACATTCGACTGCATGGACTTCAAAAACAAAAAGGTCGTCCCTACAGTCATCACCCGAATAGAACACCCACTCATTATCGATGTATGCAGGCTGGAAGTTGCACCAAATACATCTATAACAATCGCCGGTTCTATGCAGGCGAAGACACAGCATTAATTAGGGTGTTTTGGGCAATAAAGAACAGAAAACAGCCTTGCTGAGAGAAAAGGATCTACACTGCATCACTGTTTCACTGGACAGAGCAACATTCAACAGCATGGATAATTGCACTCGTCCAGTCGGTTCAGATTTGAACTCATCATCTGTTTACTGACAATTACATGTCTGTAACAGGGTTTTTTTTTGCACCAACTGGCGAAAACCACAAAGCATCACAAATCAGAAGCACTGTCATGCAAAACTTGTGGCCCCGCATTTTCAATAACCAAAAAAAAAAGAGAATGCATAACAAATCAAAAGCACTGTCGCGCAAAATTATTGGACTTTGGCGTGCCAATTTCCAAAACGCAAACATAAGAACTGCTGCAATGAATCAAAAATGATGTTGTGAGAAACTATCGGACTGTCGAAACGACTCAATCCCTTCCACCCCCCTCCCCCACCCCCCGATAAATCCTGCG